AGGTAGACACTGCTTTGGAATATGGAAAACCAGTAACCTGATGACCAGTCCCTGGAGACCCAACCCTGGGCAGATAGGACCCATCATAAGAACCTTCAACATTACCTCCGGGCTGACTATTAGAAAGAAATCTTTAATACTATTTTTTGGTGCCGGAACTGGTGGAAACAGCCTGGTCCATAAGTGACCTCTGAAAACAGCGTAAAAGAAAATTAGGTGAGCAAGAGCATCCTTTCTTGTCTTTCAGTATCTACTCTACAAATTGACCTAGTTAATTTCAGGACTTGCTGTTCAATAAATTCAAAACCTTTATTGACCAAGATTACAAATATCTGTATTATAATATTAGTTGGGCTATGATGTGGCTTCTGGATCATCCAAGAAAGACATGATAGTGATTGCTTCATGTTGGTCCATGTTTTCAGGCCTAATTTCTGAACATGGGTGATGTGTAAGCCCTTGTGCCCTACCACTAACTACAGTGCTGGCTCCAGCCCCTTACCCAACCGTGCTGGCTCACAGAGTTTGCTTTGTTTTTCCTCTCCTTTGAACTGCCACGCTCCAACCCACGGAATATAACATTTATAACAATGAAGCTCTTTAAAACCTAAGTAATTTTCTAAATTATGAAAGGACTGAGACAGAGCATGTTCTTAAGCCTCCTAAATGGCACTTTGCCTTACTGAATGCCAAAGTGGATGAGGAGTTCTTATGGGGCCATTTGCAGGCTCGAGGATTGGTCAGCAGATCTGTATCACCTTTCTACAATCTGTGTTTGACCAAAGGACAATCAGCCACTCAGGGACTGGGTGAACAAAGAGTATGGGTAGGAGTTGGCACCTCCTAATTGGAGATCATACCATGGGAGGCACTGGGGTGATTTCAGTCTCTAGGGAGCTGCCTTCCTTTACCCAAGCTATAGAAGGAGTCTGCTAGTGGCTCAACTAAGAACACTAAATACTGAGTGGGAAGGCAGTAAAGGAGTAAAAAGAACATGAAAGTAAAAGGCTTCACAGCAATGAATACATTGTCGAATTCAAGAAGGGTGTGTAATGGCTGAGGGGCTGTGTTGTGCTCTGTCTGGTTTCCATAAATCACCTAAGGATGTTTCTCACTTTTTAATTTGGTCCATACTCATCTTGGAAAGGCGGTACAGAAGACACCAAAGCACTGTAAATCCCATCTGGTAACAAGTACCCTAGTGGATGCAGGGCACAAGTGTAAAAATTCCATACTCAGACCTCATTTGAAACATGGAAATAAAAAAATATACCTACATTTTACAGATGAGGGTGAAAATTAACACGATGAAGCAGATGGTTGCCATAAGCACGATGAGAAACCATTCTGTGGAGGGCTTCTGATCATCATTTCCTGATGGAAAAAGAAAGAAATCAGAGCTAGAATCAGCTGCAGATATACGAAATGACTAGAGGCAGGCATCAGAAAGCTTGGGTTTGAGTTGCCAATGCTGGGTGAGGCTGGGCAAGTAGTTTAGCCTTCCTGAGCCTGAGATTTTTCATGAGGGTGAAATGAAGCCACTTTTAATATTAAAACATTATTTAGTCAGCCTGCAGATATTTATGGACCACACTTGATGTAATACTGCCTCCTGAATCTTGAAGCTTATCAGCTTTGGGTGAGTAGTAAGGTTTTTAGATAAAAAAGCTATAAAAGATAAGCCCTCTTAGTAATCTAATTGCATCATAATAAAAATAGTATATAAAGTTGGAAACTTAAGTTGTAGAGGAAGTAAATGATGGAATAATACTCAGAGTTAACCCTAAAGGCATCAGACTCTGCTAGAAGTACTTTGCAATCTTAATTACGCTCAATACCCCTTAACCATTATTCCCATTTCACAGATAGGAAAGTAGAAGCAAATTGCCATTAAGTCAATATAAATATGTTGCATACCATCTTACGCTCCAGTTAAATTTGCTTCTCATCTGCATTCAACGACAGATTCTTCTATTAGTTTTGATGATATCTTTGGGATGTGTGATTATTTTTTAAGGTACTGGAAATGCTTTCAGGAAAAGCCCCAGGTCCTTAACCCCATGGTTTTTAAAGAGGTAATGCACCTGTTAAACTGCCTGATTCACTTCCATAGAATAAGGCAAATCTTGCCTTATCTCCCTAGATACTAGTTCGCTTTCTGTGGGAGAGGCCACTCACTAATTCATTCCTTTATTCACCCGTTTAATAAATATTAGACTCCGTTTCTGTGTTTGGCACTGCACAGGTTGCTGGGAGCTGGGTTAAAAGCACACATATGGGCTCTCCCTGTGTGCTACTTAGATCCATTGAAGAAGAAAGGCTCTAAGCAAATAATGACATAGGTAATGACTTAAAGCCGGCTGCGCTAAGTGTGTGGGGGATGGTCAAACTACACTGCACCAGAAGAAAAGGGCCCCAAACCTCAGTTTGCCATTAATTGTTTCTTTTATAAAATGAAAAGTGAGGAAGTGGAACTCTCAAGTCCTTGTAAATATCCTAAGCCTTCTGAAAGCTCCAACATAACTTCAAACTTAAAACATTCAACGTATCAAGAGGGAGAGATGTCTTGAGGATTTAATGCTAGTGAGTCCAACTTTGCCTTGATCTCTTGCTTTTTTGCCTCCTTAGAACTCTATTTGGGATTTATCTTCTACTTTACCAAACCTTTAATCTCTCCTCCTTCATCTCTTCCCTTCTGCTTTCAAATATTCATAGAGTCCTTTATCTCGAATAAGCCATTACTTTGCTCTGCCATCTCTCCCAACTATCATCACATACCTTCCTACTTTATTTCCCAGCCTAATTTCTTGAATAAGGGATTCAGGCTGCTTCATTTCCCACCTCAGAAACTGCTTTTTTATTTGCTGGTGGCTGCCTCCTAGTCGAATCCAAAGGACACGTGGTTTCTTTTTCCAACTATTTTGCCTGACCTCCCTCGTGAATTTCAGACATGATGGTTGCGCCTACCTTGAAACCAAGTCATTGGCTCTTTTACCCAATATTGCCCTTCCTCAGTGGCATTTCCTTCTTCCCTTTTTAATTTTAACTGACCCTCTCAGCTCAGCTCTAGACCCTTGGGTCTTTTCCACTGGAAAGCTTGTTGAACAGAGCTGCATCTCTGAATTCCGTGCGTTCTTCTCCCTGGTCTTTATTCCTGGCCCATCCCTAACAACACAGCTCCACTTGTAGATCTGAAACTGCCCCTAGGTGAAACCCACTTAGATGTTCCTCCAAGCTGACAACATTGAAAATTAAGCTTATGCTCTCCTTCACATCAGAACGCCTTCTCTCACTGACTTCCCCACGATGGTCTCCCTACTGGGATCGTTGGAAGTCACTCTGATTCTTACTATTCTCTACAGCCCTGCAGCCTTTCTCCACGGACTAAGTTTACATCATCACATCATACCCACTCATAAAAGTAAGAGAGGCCTGCCTTTGTCCCATGCATGCATCCTTGCCTGGTGTGGAAATCTGGTTTCTCTTCTCAGCCTCCAGTGGAGGTCGCCATTCTGGGCCTCCATTCCCTCGTCCATAAAAACAAGCAAGTTGAAATACATGATCCTTAAGATCTGTGCCAAGTCAGCTTCTTTCTAGTACCAGTGACTCCATCCAGGCCACTGTCATTTCCTATGTACTTACCTTTGACACAATCAATTTTAGAAAAGTAGTCGTTTGTGTTGCTGAAGTTCTGAAAATTGTCATAAAGTATACAAAATAAAAACAGTAATCAGAAGTAACAGCTATTTTCTGTACATACTTTTTCATTTTTTTTCTCAGTGTTCATAGGTACCAGACACTATGCAAGGTGCTCAGCATGCATTTTAGTGTAATTCTCACAACAGTGTGTCAAGGTGGGTACCACTATCCTCACTTGGCAGATGGAGAAACTGGAGCGGAGAAGGGCCGACTCAGTCCACTGAGGGCACAGCTCGCAGGGGGAGCTGGGATCCAAGCCTGGGAATGGCTGAGCTGTAATGCTCTTAACCATGATGCAGGGATCCCATTCCACTGCCCATCATCCCCAAACTGAGGACACAAACGGCCCAGACAGGAGCTCCACTTAAGACATCCTAAGCATTTCTCTATCACTGAACACTCTCCTGAGAGTTATCTTCCCAGCTGGATACCACTTCCCTGCAGGGAAGCACTCTTTCACTGTGGGGTCCCCACGGTTGGACATAGCTAAGTTGGTGGGCTGCACTGCAACAGGAGGGGGCTGCATTGCAAACTAGCATTCCCCCTGATGTCCTCAGGCTGCATGCAGTTGGGACTGAATCACTTTATTAAAAACCTATGGCCATTGTATCTTTTTTAAGTTTTAAGGTTTTGTTTTTGTTTTTTTTAGAGAGAAAGAGCATGCTCAGGAGCAGGGGAGGAGGGGCAGAGGGAGAGAGAGAACCCACAGCAGACTCCACACCCAGTACAAAGCCCAATGCAGGGCTCCATCTCACGATCCTCACGTCATGACCTGAGCCGAAATTGAGAGTCAGGTTTAACGGACTGAGCCACCCAGGTGCCCCAAGTTTTGGGTATTTATACGTATTATTTTACAAAGAGGCATTAGTCATACTTAGTAAAATGATTAAAAAAAAAAGTGATAAGGAGGCAAAACTTTTATTTTCCCAAATGCCACGGACACTGAAAGGTTCTAGAACTAATACTCAGTGGCGTGGGTTGTGACTGAGCATCCTGTTAAACCTAGTTTTTATTGCACTGGTTCATAGCTAATGTAAAGAGCAACTGGGATGAACTAATACCGTCAAATGCCATCTAGCTTTATTTCCCAGTCTGATGTCCTGCTTCATTTCCCCATTTCTGGAACCCACCATTCTATGCTCTTAACCGTTGTTCAAGTACCTTAATAAGTACATTCAGAAACTCCAGACTCCTATTCCATGCATGGGATATAAATTTAGCAAGGGGTATGTCAGCAGAAAAAAAGTTATCCTGTTTACAACCAGGTTTAACAGGTAAAGTGTAGGCCCCGCAGAAAAAAAGACATGTTGTAAATATTATCAGGGTCACACACTTGGTCCCATTTGTGTCTCAAATTGTGAAATACCTCCTAGTCAGATATGCCGAGCGCTGATAATAGTACCGTTCACCTCTGACCATGATTACAAAAATCTTTTCAGTTAAGCCACTCTCCAGCTATTCACTTCAGCTCTCACTTTGATAAACAAAGCTTTTCACTGAATTAGCAAAAAATACAAAGGCAACTGATTTTATTTCATTCAGTCAAAAAAGTTATTGATGCATGCAAGATGCTACGTGGGAAGCAAAGTCATGGTCGCCGCCTGGAGGGAGTTGGCAAATGAGTCATTTCTCCTGGCCTGGCTTCTGCAGTGTTCCTGATGCGCTTTAGAAAGATCCCCCTACCACCAAGTGAGAACAGAGCTCAGCCCCAGAGGAGAGAGCCAAGGTCAGCGCTACTACCATGAAGAAAACATAAACAGGCAGGTAAATTTAGTACAAGGAAAAGCTTTAACATACTCACCGCCAAATGGAAATTACTTGTGGATTATCTACTGTTTAATTATTAATGCAAAAGTCTTGAGTCAGTTAGATAAATGAGTGAATTAAAGTTAGCATCGACTCCGATTTCACTGAAGGTAGAAAAAGGGAACAGGCCCCAAGGGCAGTACATATGTCCTTTGGGTCAAAGTGATAAAAAATTTCAATACTGAAAAGTTGGGAGGCCCCTGAATATATCATTAATTTGAATTCTGGGGTTTCTGGCCTTGGAGATTTTCTTAAGAAAAATGATTTCCAGATAACTTGAATCTTTTCTCTGACTCAAGGAGAATGCCTTTCCTACTCTAAAACGGAAGCCACAGATGTTTCTTTTCAAGAAATTGAAGGGCCCTGCTATTTAGTTATGCAGAGATGTTTAAGAAAGAGGAAGTCACACCGTCGGTCCTTCTAAGGAGGAGAAGCCCTCCAGACCCTCCACCGCATTCCTGGATGCTCTTCTGACATTGTCAACTTTGAGCATTTGGGAGCTCAGCTGTCCGGCTTCTGGTGACCTTGGCTATCATTTTTGACTTCTCACCCATTTTACCTTGAGAACAAACCAGCTGCTGAAAATTCTGCTGTTCTGTGACGTGGCAGCCTGTGGGGTGGGGGTGGGACGCCGCATGGGACGGGGAGGGAATGGGATGGTGGGTGGGTGGACAAAAACCTAGGCACCAGACCCAACTTAATCCCTTCATCCGCATCTGGCTGTTTCTGGAGCTTAGTCCAATCGCTTCCCGCCACCCCACCCCCCCTCCCCCAATGCTGCGGCCCCTCTTGGCGCATGAATCTGGCATCTATGGAGCTCAGGCTAATAACTCCGAGGAGGGTCAATTTGGCGTGGAAGCCCGTTCCAC